AGTTTGAACCCCACCTGTGCCATTTAACTTTATGACTTTATGAAAGTTACTTCTCTGCTCCTCAGTTTTCTCATCTCCAAAATGGGTTGTTGGGAGGATTAAAAGAGAAATTACATGTAAAGCACTGGAATAATAAGCGCTCAATAAATGCTATTTTATTATTAATAAAGCAAATCAATAAATAGATACTATAATTCAGCAAAGGGATACTATACTATTTATGCATATATTTATACAAATTTCTACACATTGATATATACATAAAAGATATAGAAGGATTCAATCAAATTCTTGGGATTGGGAGGAGTGGAAGGGGATAAGTTTTACTTTCTTCCCATCTGTATTGCTTTTCCCACCAACCTATTCTCTACTCCTCAGCAAAAGTAACCTACTTAAAACATAAATTACCTCAATGTCACCCCTAATCTTAAAACCCTTCAGTGGTTTTCTATTACACTTAGGATCAATTCCAAACTATCTATCAGGCCTTCCACATCCTGGTCCCTGCCTAGCTCTCTGGATACTCTCCTCCTTTGCACACTACACTACAGTCACAGTTTCTTTCAGTCCCACTAGGTGCCAAGCTCTTGCTTGACTCTGTAAACACTGTTGGAATGCTCTTTTCTCTATTCTTCCCAAAGCTAGTTCATTCTCATCAGCCCAATCAAAAGTCATCTTCTCACAGAGCCTTTTCCGGATCCACCACAGCACCTGATATGTTAGCTGCCGTCAAGTTGGCCCAGACTCATGGTGATTCTATGTACAACAGTATCAGACCGTTGTGATTCATAGAGTTTTTACTGGCTGATTTTCCAAAGTAGATTGCCAGGCCTTTCTTCCTAGTCTGTCTTACTCTGAAAGCTCTGCTGAAAGCTGTTCACCATCACAGCAACACAAAAGCCTCCAATGACAGACCAGTGTTGGCTGTGCTTGAGGTACACTGCCTGGGAATCATATGGAAGAAGAAAATTCTACCTGTGAACCGCAACTGTGTTTGCACCTGATATAGTCAGCACTGCACTTAACAAATATCTGCTGAATGTTTACTGAATGAATAAAGTGTTATCCCACCTATGGGTCGGCTCCTAAATAGTCCCATTAATGCTAACTGTTACTAAAAAATACATATAAAGCTTTAAAATATAACAAATTATTACTGTGAAGTACTTATTCTGAAATGCTTATTTATACTGTAAGTTAAAGACTTCCAAATTTTTTTCAGTTGTGATAAGAAAATAATTTTACACTGCAATCAAGTACACACACACATCACAACAAAGGTTCACAAAATCATACTCACCTTTCTCTTAAGATAGTGTCACTGTTTTTAATATGATTTTTCCAAACTACTATATAGTGGAAAGACAATGATGTGTACTATTGCAAGGTTTTGGTTTTTCATTCAAGATTCTAATAAATTAAACCAACAGCACCGACTTAAAAAGTATAAAATTAATATTTTAGGGGAAAGATAATTCAATTATATTACCAATTCTAAATTATCACATTCAAACTCCAGGACCATACTCTAACCATATTCATTAATCAAAAAATAACAAACTATGGATGCAGGGTATTCAGATTAGGAACGCCTTGATAAGGAGGGGCCCCAAGGTGATTTCAGATTGAAAGAAAGGGATGAAAATTGATGTAAATCTTCCCCAGCTCATCTAATAGCAACTGCATTCTTCCAGACCCGCAGGCCAAAAACCCTAATGTCATCCTTGACTCCTTTTTCTTTCACTTCCTAAATCCACTGCATCATTAAATCCTATCAGCTCTACCATCACAATACATCCAGAATCTGATATTTCTCACTATCCCCCATTGCCACCATCCTGGTCTAAACCACAATCATCTCTTGCCTGAATTACTAAATGGTCTCCTCCATTCTGCCCTTACCTTCCTTCAGTCTCTTCTCAATAGTGCTGTCAGAGTGAATTTATTAAACCATTAAGTCACAGTATGTCACTCCTTTGCCAAAAGTTTCCCATCACAGAGCAAAAGTGAAAGTCCTTCCTAAAGCCTGCAAAGCCCTACATGATCTGTCCTCCTCTGATCCTGCTGACCTCATCTACTACCATCCAGCCATACTGGCCTCCCTCACTGGTCCTCAGACACACCAGAATGCTCCCACCTCAAGATGGGAGCTTGTTCCCTTTGCCAGAGATGCTCTTCCCCCAGATATCCACGTGTAACTCTCTTAGCTTCCTTCCACCCTTTTATTCTAGTCAACTTCTTAACAAGGCAATCCTATCTAAAATTTCATCCCCTCATTGCTACCCCTCCACTTCAACACACAGCACAGTCCTCTTCCCTATGTTCTTCTTAGCACTTACCACTACCTAACATAGTATATATTTTATTTATTTACTATGCTTACTGTCCCCCTCCACTAGATTGTAATCTCCATGAGAGCAGAGATGTTTGATTATCCCCAGCACCTAGAACAGTATCTGGCACCTAACTCACTGCCATCAAGTTGATTCCGACTCATACTGACCCTGTAAGGACAGAATAAAACTGCCCCATAGAGTTTTCAAGGCTGTAAATCCATATGGAAGCAAACTGTCTTATCTTTCTCTTGTGGAGCGGCTGGTGGGTTTGAATGCCCAACCTTTTGGTTAGCAGCTGAGCGCTTTAACCACTGTGCAACCAGGGCTCCTTATATGGCACTTAGAAACCCAAAAGCCCAAACATACTGCTGTAGGGTTGACTCTGACTCATAACGACCCTACAGGAGAGCAGAACTGCCCTAAAGGATTTCCAAGGAGCAGCCGGTGGAGTCAGACTGCTGACCTTTTGATTAGCAGCCTAGCTCTTAACCACTGCACCACCAGGGCTCCAATCTGGCACTTAGTAGACTATAACATTTGAATGAGTAAATGGGTAGATAAATGAGTGAATGAATAGGCTTGGAATGAGGAAGGAAATAGGAATACAGACCACAGAACAGATAGGTAAGAATGGATAACTATAGGTAAAGATCCGTAACTCACCCTTCAAGGGAAGCCTTGACACAACTCTGATGTCTCTGGTTCCACCGGAATGTGGTGAAACTTGTTAGCAACCACTACTTGAGATTGAATTAACGTTCTCTAGGAGCACTGAGTGTTCCTTCCAAATTCATTATCTTTTCTGAATCAATCAAGAAGAAATTTAGAGGAAATGAAACCACAAATGAAAAAGGCAACTGCCTGCCCATTACCCATAATTGAAACTTATGAGGCAAACAGAGAACATAGCTAAGACTAAAATTTTGAAGTAATGCCAGGAAGACAAGAGAAATCAAGGGCTTTATCTAAACCAGACTCTGCCACTAATCAAATGTATGACCAGAATGTCTCTGAATCTGTTTCTTGTATCTGCAAATATGGGTCACTGCTATCCCAGTCTGTCCCACCTACTTGTTTTGAAAATGAAATGAAATAATGGGAGAGCACTTTTAAAAACATAAAACGCCATATTCCATACAAATGTAGGCAGTTACTAAGTTCTAAGATATTCCTTTACTAGCCACTAGGAAGATTTATTAAAAACAGTATTAAAAACAGTGTCCTCCTTTTGCAAACTTTAAGTTTTACAAGTTTTCATAGAATTATGAGTCAGGATGTAAAGATTTCCCCCCAGTCCCCAAATTAAAAAAATATTTTATTAGTGTATTTGTTCCAGAGAAAAAACCAATAAACTGTTTCTCAGTTACAGTAAGGTCATATTATACAGGAGTATCCAAGGAATTAACAACAACCAGAAAAAACAGTTGCCATCAAGTCAATTTTGACTCAGGCAACCCCATGTGTGTCAGAGTAGAACTGTGCTCCACAGGGTTTTCAATGGCTAATCTTTTGGAAGCAGATTGCCAGGACTTTCTTCCAAGGTGCCTCTGGGTGAACTCCAACCAGTAGCCTTTTGGTTAGCAGCTGAGAGCATTAACCAATTGGCTCCACTCAGGGACTCTAGGAATTAACTACAAGGTTATTAATCTATTACTTAAAATTAAATGATCCACTGAACTGTACATGTGACGAATGTCGAAATGGCAAATGTTTTGTGACATTTGTTATATTTACCACAATTAAAAAGAAAATGAAATGATCCACCAAAAATAAATAAAATCAAAGCCTCAAACTAATCTTAAGTGGCAGCATCCCAGTGGTTGCCTGGAGGTGGGAGTGAGATAAATTATTGTAAAGGAGGAAGAGGGAATTTTTTAGGGTGATGGAAATGCTCTATTTGTTAATTGAAATTGTAATTACACGGATGAATACATTTGTCAAAACTCGACTTGTACACTTTAAATGGGCGCCATTTGCTGTACGTAAATTATACTTCAACAGTTAAAAAAAAATTGAAACCTCTGTCCTGTTTCCTTAAATTAAAAAAGCAAACTAACACCTCAGTTGCACCATGGCCTTAAGGAGAACTTATGTTATGGAATCTAATACATCAGCCTTGAAGAGTTAAGCAAGGGAATGACAGCACCTGAGTTAACCGCAAAAAAAGTCACCTCATGACCTTCTGGCCTCAAGGTTAACTCAAATTAGAAAGAAAAAAAGCACAATCAGGGAAACAAATGTCAGCTCTTTCTCAAGAAAATGAAAGCCAAAAATGGTATTTCTTCAGAAGACACAGGTTTGGAGCTCTTCAGACTTAGGTTCGAATCCCTGCTCTAGGCCGTTAAGTGTCTTTTTGACCTTGAGAGTCCTCAATTTCTCTGCGCCTCAGTTTCTCTTTCTGTAAAATGGGGATAACGATGGCTTAGAGCTTAGCCTGGCGCACAATAAATGCTCAATACATGATCGTTACTATTATTTAAGGCACCAGAATTTAGTGCCAGCAGGATAAACCCGAGTGTCTCTAAGCGTTGTGGTCCCTTTCGTATGCCTTATCGCCTTCGGCTGACCTTACTCCCCTCATAAACACACCCCTCACAATCTTTGCTGGCTTGACCACCCCTGACCCCTGCAGCCCCCAGGGGACGCCCACCTCCCACACCCCACCTCATCGAGGAAGCGGGTGACATCGTAGACTCGTCCGTGGATCACCAGCCATATTTCCTTCGAGGAGTTGCGCTTCGCCACCTCCTCCAAGCGGTAATAGGTGACGGAGGTCTCGACCCCCTGCCCTTTCCCGTCGCAGCTGCTAGCTTCCACAGAAGCCATTGAGACAGAGAAACCTCTTCACCGCTTCCTGGATTTCCGCAGCTAACTTTGGGGGACAGATCCTGTGCTCAGCCTACTTCGGCTTCCGTAACCAGGGCCCATAAGTCCTTCAGGGGGATCCTAGCAACAGCCAGTCACGCTTCGGAATAGTTGCTGGTTCTTTTTTTCTTTCACCAATGAAACGAGACGTCCGGCACTCAAATCTGCCCACTCCTCGCCCCGCGTAGGCCTGGTGCGACGTGGAACTAGCCAATCAAGGTTGTCCCGCCCTTCCAGCTTTGCCAGTCAGATAGCGTGATTTTGGAAAAGCTCCTAATGAAGACGTATTGACAGGTGTCATCTCAGGAGAAGTTCCTCTTCGGTCGGCGTACGGAACTGCAGGGTCCTGGACTAGGGGGCCGATTCCCTTTCCTTCCCGCTTCCCTTTCCTTAACCGTGGATCCCTCCCCAGTCACGCGAAGTCACGTTTTCCCCCGCTACCTTCGTAGCCTGTATTCCAGCCCTGGGTTTACATTTTTACCTCTATCGCTTCCAGACTGTAGTTTGAAGAATCCGTCTCTACAAGGCTGTTTCCTCATCAGGAAAATGGGCATGATAACCTCTACTTTATAGAATGGTTTGGATGATTAAATGAGAGAGAATGTGTCTGTAAAGCCTCTGAGGATCCCAATTGGGGATATGGAGTACCCTAAGTTTCTGCTATTACTAAGAAATGATTTTTAAATTAATTATATGGTGATCAAAAGATATATAGAGATATATCTATAGATAGATAGATAGATGTTGTTGTTAGGTGCCCTGGAGTTGGTTCCGACTCAGCAACCCTATGTACAACAGAACGAAACACTGCCCAGTCTTGTGGCATCCTCACAATGGTTGTTATGCTTGAGCCCATATTGCAGCCACAGTGTCAATCCATCTCGTTGAGGGTCTTCCTGTTTTTCGCTGACCCTCTAATTTACCACTGACAGCACTGTACTTCAGGATAGATCTTGATGTTCTTTTTGACAATGACTGCAACACCATTCCTCTTCAAGTTGTCATTCCCAGCAGAGTAGACCATATGATTGTCTGATTCAAAATAGCCAACACCAGCCCATTTCAAGTATCAGTGCCTAGGATATCGACGTTTATGCATTCCATTTCATTTTTGATGATTTCCAATTTTCCTAGATTCATACTTTGTACATTCTACGTTACGATTATTAATGGCTGCTCACAGCTGTTTCTTCTCATTTTGAGTCGTGCCACATCAGCAAATGAAGGGCCCAAAAACTTGACTCCAACCATGTCATTAAGGTGGACTCTACTTTGAGGAGGCAGCTCTTCCTCAGTTGTATTTTGAGTGCCTTCCAACCTGGGGACGTTCATCTTCCGGCACTATATCAGACAATGTTCTGCTGCTATTCATAAGGTTTTCACTGGCTAATTCTTTTCAGAAGTAGACTGCCAGATCCTTCTTCCTAGTCTGTCTTAGTCTGGAAGCTCAGCTGAAACTTGTCCATCATGGGTGACCTTGCTGATATTTGAATACTAGTGGCATAGGTTCCAGCATCACAGCAACACACAAGCCCCCACAGTATGAGAAACTGACAGTTGATGGACACCTCTGTCAGTGATAGGATAACATCCATACGCCTACAAGGAAGAGCAATTAATATGACTATTATTCAAATTTACGCAGCAACCACTAAGGCCAAAGAAGAAGAAATTGAAGATTTTTACCAACTTCTGCAGTCTGAAATTGATCTAACATGCAATCAGGATGCACTGATAATTACTGGTGACTGGAATGCAGAAGTTAGAAACAAAGAAGGATGGGTAGTTGGAAAGTATGGCCTTCATGATAGAAACAATGCCAGAGATTGCATGATAGAATTTTGCAAAACCAATGACTTCTTCACTGCGAATACCTTTTTTCAACAACATAAACAGTAACTGTCATGGATTGAATTATGTCCGCCAAAAAATGTGTGTATCAATTTGGCTGGGCCATGATTCCCAGTATTGTGTGGTTGTCCTCCATTTTGTGATTGTAATTTTATGTGAAAGAGGATTAGGGTGGGATTGTAACACCCTTACTAAAGTCACATCCCTGATCCAATGTAAAGGGAGTTTCCCTGGGGTGTGGCCTGCACCACCTTTTATCTTACAAGAAATAAAAAGAAAGGGAAGCAAGGGGGGGAGGGGCTCATACCACCAAGAAAGCAGCGCCAGGAGCAGAGTGTGTCCTTTGGACCTGAGGTTCCTGTGCTGAGATGCTCCCGGACCAAGGGAAGACTGATGACAAGGACTTTCCCCCAGAGCCAACAGAGAGAGAAAGCCTTCCCCCTGGAGCTGACGCCCTGAATTTGGACTTCTAGCCTACTAGTCTGTGAGTAAATAAATTTCTCTTTGTAAGGTATTATAAAGACATGTGCAAAGACCTGGAGTTAGAAAACCAAAAGGGAAGAACACACTTGGCATTTCTGAAGTTGAAAGAACTGAAGAAAAAAATTTAAGCCTTGAGTTACAATATTGAAGGATTCTATGGGAAAAATATTAAACAACACAGGAAGCACCAAAGAAGATGGAAAGAATACACAGAGTCACTATACCAAAAAAAAAATGGTTGATGTTCAACCATTTCAGGAGGTAGCGTATGATCAGAAACCAATGGTACTGAAGGAAGAGGTCCAAGCTGCACTGAAGGAATTGGGGAAAAACAAGGCTTCAGGAATTGATAGAATACCAACTGAGATGTTTCAACAAATGGATGCGGTGCTAGAAGTGCTCACTCATCTATGCCAAGAAATTTGGAAGAGAGCTACCTGGCCAACCAACTTGAAGAGATCCATATTTATGCCTATTCCAAAGAAAGGTGATCTAACCGAATGCGGAAATTATCGAACAATATCATTAATATCACATGCAAGTAAAATTAGCTGAAGATCATGCAAAAGCGGCTGCAGCAGTACATCCACAGGGAACTGCCAAAAATTCAAGCTGGATTCAGAAGAGGACGTGTAACAGGGATATCATTGCTGATGTCAGATGGATCCTGGCTGAAAGCAAAGATGTTTACCTGCGTTTTATTGACTGTGCAAAGGCATTCGACTGTGTGGATCATAACAAATTATGGGTAACATTTCAAAGAATGGAAATCCTAGAACACTTAATTGTGCTCTTGAGGGACATGCACATAGAGTAAGTACGGTGAAAGGATACAACCCTGATGCACACCTTTCCTGACTTTAAACCATGCAGTATCCCCAAGTTCTGTTCCAATGATTGCCTCTTGGTCTAAGTACAGGTTCTTCATGAACACAATTAAGTGTTCTGGAATTCCCATTCTTCGCAATGTTACCCATAATTTGTTATGATCCACACAGTCAAATGCCTTTGCATAGTCAATAAAACACAGGTAAACATCTTTCTGGTATTCTCTGCTTTCAGCCAGGGTCCATCTGAGATCAGCAATGATATCCCTCGTTACACGTCCTCTTCTGAATCCGGCATGAATTTCTGGCGGTTCCCTGTGGTTGTACTGCTGCAACAGCTTTTGAATGATCTTCAGCAAAATTTTGCTTATGTGTGATATTAATGATATTGTTTGATATAGGGTCATGGTCTAATGTCATTTTCATCATGTCACCATTCAGGGCTCTCTACAATGCATCCCCAATTTCTTGCACTAATATTTTCCACTATTTTTTTTTTTATATAAGCCTTGTGCACCAGCCACTGACTCGTAAACCTCCTGGTCTTAAACCCACATCTAGGATCATTCCAGATTCACCCACTTGGAATATCCTCTTCCTTCCCATGCCTACTCATGTTTCAAGCCCCTCCTCAATTCTTCCCTTTTCACAGACTCTTCTCCTACAATTCTCAGTTCCAGTGGTTCCATCGCCTTATAGTACCTAAGCATATACTATTTTAGGGAACCCTCTGCGTCTGTAAAACTTAACTTTTCATATTTTACCTCTCTAATTAGACTAAAGCTATGAAGACAATCCCATATGATTCTTAGGATCCTCCACAACGTCTAGATTAGAATATTTACATTCATTTCAGAGATATTACCAAATATTTACCGTGTCACAAGCACTGTGATAGACTCTGGGAATAGAAAAGTAACAAAAGAAACAAATTCTCTGAAAGAGACAAAAACATTGACTATATATGTATATATATTTTAAGTGCTAGAATAGAGATTTGTATCAAATGCAATGGGACACAGTTCTCAACAGGTATTTGTTAAATGAGTAATTCACACTTAACCCTGGTGCACGTGAGTCACCTGGGGACACTATGTTAAAAATGCAGATTCCTGGCCCTCCTTCCAGAGATTCAGGTCCCGAGGGTCTGGGTAGGGAGTTGAAATCAACATTTCCAGGTAGGGAGCAGAAATCAGATTAACAGGTATTTCGGTTGGTTCTGATGGAGATGATCTATGAACTGCTTTGGAAAATACTGAACTAGTGTGTTTGAAGCATATTAGATATGTCTTTATCTCTCATACAGTAAATTAGTAAAATTATGCAGTATTTCCTTTCCCAGTGAGTGCAAAAGTGTTTTAAAGACCCTGAGGGGAAAGAATAGGAGAATCTCTTAGCAAAGGGAGGGGTTGGAAAAATATATTTAGAGTACAGCAAAAGTAAAAGTGGGTGTGACCTTGGATGAGGGGAGAGATTTCTGAGACTGGGAAGGGGAGAGAAGGTTGGGATTCCTCCAGTAGCAGGGACCTCACAAGCTTCCTCAAAGGGGCCTGGGCAGATGACAGGACCTCCAAGGGGGAAATACTGCATGGTGCACACAAGGAGATTGAACCCTAGGTGCCAGGGCTGTCAGCTAGCAAACATTTTTGAGCCCCAGTTTATCTGCTGTGAGCTCTGCAACAGATCTCGTGGGCAGTGATCAATGTGAACTGAGGGCCATAGGGCCCTTCCTGAATGTTTGACACTATGTAAAACCCCTGGGGAGGAGAAAGGAACACCCTCATAAAGGACTGAGACTGAATTTGTCGGCATCATGGCAAGTGAATGCAAACAGTCAGATTAAGTGTTTTTTGTTTTTTTTTAAATTTTATTGTACTTTAAGAAAGAAAGGGCCACATAAAC